GAGAGAGAGAGAGAGAGAGAGAGAGAGAGAGAGAGAGAGAGAGAGAGAGAGAGAGAGAGAGAGAGAGAGAGAGAGAGAGAGAGAGAGAGAGAGAGAGAGAGAGAGAGAGAGAGAGAGAGAGAGAGAGAGAGAGAGTTATTATAAATATAAGTAGAATTTCATCTCAGCTACCAAAGTGACATAGGCTAATTGTGACAACATTCCTATGAACTTTTGTGAATTTGTTTCATTTTTAACAATATTTTTTTGCCTATGATGTATTTATTATGGACTATCTTATTTTTTTATTTTTGAATCGAAAAATTATATGTCGACAAATGCTTTAACTTTTTTACAATATAATATTTTTCCTAGAATCTTTTTTATTATTAAATTAGATGTTATTGGACACATGGTTTTGAAAAGGGATAATATGTGAGACACAGAGAAAAAAGAGAACAAGAGACATATTAATATGGTTCTTGAAAATTTAGAGCAAGTAATTTTTTTTTCAAGTTCAGTACTATAAATTATAAATAGAAAATAATTAACGTTTTATGGCATGTTTCTAATATAAGAATGAAAAATATTTGTCCTTTATGAGATGTCTATGCCAGTGGATAACCATATAAATTAGTAAATAGGTGTTTTTTTAAGGAGAGTGAATAATTCTAAACAGTGTCTTATTTAAGAGTAAAAGTGTCTGATTAAAATAGAAACTATAAAAGATAGTTACTCAATTGTATCCCTTTATAATATGTAAAAATATATAAGTTCAAACCTGCAAAATAAAATCATTCAGCAGTATGAAATTCCTTTTATGAATTAATTATATTTTATCTTGCAAATTCATTTTATCTTTTATATTTCTTTACTTTGTAGGATGTTTTTCTTAAAAGATTATTCATTATATTACTTAATTTATTTTTGTTTTTATGTTTTAGAATGGAAGTTAGTGAAATGAACTAACAGATAAGCGCATACAAAATGGCTAATAGTTAAGGATGGGCAAAAAAATATGAAGTAATCTGAATTGGTAGTCAACTAAATTAAACTATAAAAACGAATTATTCTCAAAGAATTGAACTAAATAATTTTTATAAAAAATAGAAATAAAAAAATGTCAACAAATGACCCAACCCTTTGGATTAGATATATGGTCCGCAAGTCAAATTCTAAAAAAGCATTGAACCAATTTAGTCGAGTCCTACAAACCAATCAAAGTCGGCTAGGTCACTGACTTCCATGCTAGAAACCTACGAAGCCAAATTTACTCGACATTTTTTTACTTTCCTTTGTAAATTTTAATTAAAAATTAAAAAAAATAAAACGGCCAAAACAATTCAATTAAAAACATCAAAACAGCTTAATTTAATTCTGATTACAACTCAAACAAAAAACAATTCAGCTCACTTTAATTAATTTTCAATTCAAATCGGTTCAAGCAAATTTTTCGACGTACCTTTTATAAGCTCTGTTCATTTTGTCTACCTACTAATAGTAACAGCTCCATGAAAAACTTATAAATAACATATGATAATTTTTAAAATTAATTTAATGCCAATTTTTTAAATAATGATAAATCATCTTTAAATTTTTTCGGTGAATATAACTTTTAAATGACTTCTGTAATGAGTAAGGGCACAAATAAAGATTTATCATAAGTAATTCATTCACACATGAACATAATAGTATAACCATTCAGACCGGGTCACCAGGCCTATTGTTTAAATATACCTATACGTCGGCAGTGTCACTGAAAATATTGAACACGGATTTTTTTAATAAAAATAAATGGTATATGAATGAAACATTTCATATATAAAATGCATACGGAAAGCTAGTTCATACGAGAAAAAAAAATGGTACAATCAAATTAGTAGTCATATATTCATATAAAGAAAAAAGAAAAAAGTTGGCAATAAACACAGGTCAAGTGTGGCCAAGAAATCCAATTTTGAAGACTCCTTATCCATGTATAAAATAATTAAATAGAATTACTCCAGAATTAACGATGTGATCAGCAATGATTGCTTATGAGGTGAGCATAACAGTTTGGCGAAGAGAAATAAACTAGTTTACTGGTACTCAGAAGAATAGAAGAAAATACAGTTAAAGGAAGAGAGTAGATTCATCCAACTCCGAAGGGGTATTCTGAATGTAGCATTAATAATTACCTAATGATATGAAGAGTGATGGCTTTTAAACCTATAATAACATACAATAGTTGCTAGTTCCTGCAAGAATTAAGACCATCCGTCACTATGGTCTGGCCACCATTCCCATAGTACCAGCAGATGACAACAATTTCTCCTTGTGCCAGAAATTGGGCATATTATTGTGTGAGCAGCTTTGAGTCACACGCCACTATTTTAACCCTTCCAACAGTCTCTTGGCTGTCTTCGTTCTTAAACAACGCATTTTGCAAGATGAAGGTCCAAACATTGTCACAAAATCTATACGTATGGAGATGTCCCTGTGATTGCAAAATTAATAATTGCGGTCATTACTTAGACTTTAGCTTCACCATAATTCATGAACTGCAAATCTAAATCATATATGCAGTATCGAACACAAAATGCGTAGATGTTCAACAGAGGTATTGGAGGATTTCACTACCACAGTTGTTTGAAGATAATTGTTGCTAAACACACCAGCAGCCCATGGTAGAGAAAATAATCACAACAGCCCAGTCAAGTTAACACTGAATATCCCGTTGGACAAGAAACAACCATTTCAACAGATTCAAAAGCATCCGAGCATTATAGAGGAAATAATAGTGTCAAATCATACTACACGAAAAGCAGTGACCAATCAACCCCAAAAGACTGAGACTAAAACTTATAGGGAGTTCCATCATGTTGATATTATGCTAGGGATCATTTCAAGAAACTAAAATCCTAATGCACAGCTAAGCTCAAGAACTTTTAAGGGATGGATATTGTTTAGAGCTAGATGTACAGGGTATTAAGATATCGTGAAGATTTATTAGGATTAATCATATCTTAATTAATTATATCATATCATATAAATCCTTATTCTTTTTATTATAAATAAGAGTTATGTGTACTGAAGATTGACACACAATTCCTAAATCACAACACAAGGAAAACGATAATTATATTAATTTACAAAAACATAAACTGTTTTGTAGTTAGTGATAGGAAACTTTTTTCAGATGGTGTAGTCCTTTTAGTCATATTTGTTTGTTTTTTAGGCCATTATTGAAGGATAACTCCCATGTTTTACTTTCCTTTTCCATTGATGAATAATTCTTCTATAAACTAATAAGGTTAAAGTATTCATTTGATTCCTTTAGTTGTTCCCATTTTAAATTTTAGTCCCAGTACAAGAAAACTTTTTTTTGTCTCTGCATAGTATTTTGTGGTGGTTTATCACAGCTAGAACTTTTTGTAATGGTTTTACAATAACAGAAAGTATTCTGTAGTATTAGCAATGGGGCCAAAACTTAACTTCTATGCATATGTAGGAACTAAAACTACCATTTCTCATACAGGGACTAAAACTTAAAATGAGAAATGTAAGGACCAAATAAATAATTTAACCTACTAATAATAATCTCTGGTAAAACAAAAAAAACATAAACTTGTATATACCTATAATAATATTCTATTTAATAGAATCAACCAGAAGAATTATTGCAGAGCTCACACGAGAAAATTGGGCAATTAGTTCCCTCATAGTTGTTCTAAGCAATACTATATAATTGGAAAACAAATACTTGGGCTAATTTATTGATTTTATAACAAGCAAAGAAATGACTGATACAAAGTCTGGAAAGTTGTTACATTTCCTTGCAGAGCCTTTCAGGCTTCACTTGGAAATACTAAAAAATGATAGGATTAATTTTTCTATGAAAATTCCAGTCTGTAAAGCACAAGCTTCCTGTTTTCTGTTCCCCACGTAGACTCTCACAAAACAAATCAAACCTCTTCCAACCAGGCATCACCACAAAGAAAAATGCTACATAACAAACCATATGTCAAGTACCCCCCCCCCCCCCCAAAAAAAAATTAAAAAAAAGAAAGAAAACAAGACCAAGAGAGATGTGTAAAAGACTGCATAAGCAAAACTTAACAATCATAATCAAATAATGTGATGGCTATGGTAATCATAATGGCAAAAAATACAGTAAGCCAAGACAAAACAAGAAAGGGCACATATTTGGCTTTATTTCCAGAAATCAGCCATCAGCAGATTATATATAGTTTTTAAAGCCATGAAATTGAGTGAAAATGTATTTAAAGATGGATAATCATGCCAACATTCTCTGTTTGAATAACATGTGTGCTAGTATCAATAGTTTTGAAAATAGGAAGACACCTTGCTATTGAGTTCAATAAAAAATGACAGCATGCTCAATTCAACCACAAATTTAATTTGGATAAACATGCTTTTTCATTCAAAAAACCAATACTCAATCATAAAAAACAAAACTATGTACATAGAGAGTATATAGGTGAAAAAACGGAAGTTAGGGTGGGGAAGTGAGTCCCTTTGCCAACCAACCCTGCTCCTGATTAAGGCATATGGATGGCAGCCCCCATGTCAACCATCGAATGGAGAAAACAATTGCTCCATGGCATTAGCCTAGAAGACAACAAAGAGTTCTCAAAAGCCACGAACAACAAACTTGACCACGCAATTTCAAAAAGACACCATACAGTGGAGAGGAAAAGGCAGTTGTGGAAGGAGAGGGAGCAAGGGGTGTTAGAAAATATATGGTGTAGAGAGTCAACCATAATATTTTAAGGAAAAATCAATCTGGTGGCAAATAATAATGGTCCAGTGGTCCACCACCTAATTCCCACCCTAACCTCCATCAGATAAAAAATAAGGCAGGTAGAGAGGGTATCCTCCTGGGGGGCAGGGGATAAAAAAGTACAAAATTTCCATATCTAAACACCACCTTCGGCAAAATATCAAATATCAAGCTTTAACTGTTCTACGATCAACATTATAAGTTTAGTGCATTCAATGCATATATGTAACTCCAACAAAAAAAAAGCAAGTGATTTTCTATTCGTTGTGTTAATATTCATGCATGCCCATAGCAATTTGTTATAGCCGCGAGTCTTGTGACTACGTAACTTAAAGCAAAAGGAAAAACGTAACTTTTTCCAAGGCAACAATAAAATATTTTAACCAAATTTATTGCATATTGATTGGCACTAAGAAACAATTAGTCCGTTTAGAAACTAAAGATATGCAAACAAACATCATGATCAGCATATTACTCTCTATTCCTTTTCATATGTTCTATAAGCCTTTCAAGCAGTTGTTAAGGAAATTATTAAATATTTGGTTTCTCTACAAGTATACTTCTTAAGGGACAATGATGCAAAAGGTGCCAATGGTTACTAAATGTGGACACTTCTCCTAGCAAGAATTCAAATCTTAGTTAGCCACGTTCAAAAATATTAAATATCCTCAATTATAAGCAAAAAAACAACTAAATTTGACTGAACTACCCCTTAATATTCCATAAATTATTTTTATTACTTTATCGATAATCTATTCATTTATTATTGGAGTAGCCAATCAAGCACTATTGTGGACCCCACTGCTCTTAAGGATGTTGTTGCAAAGTGCCTCAATGTAACAGCCATTGTGGCACCATTCGCAAACTTCCTGGGCGCTTTGGCTGTTAGAAGTAAAAAATATCCCTGAAAACTAGTGTCATTTTAGGATGTTTTTTTTTTTGGAGGGGGGAGGGGGG